AATCTTCTGAAGATTTATTAGTAAGTTACGGACAATATTCTCACCATCATTCAACTAATAGAAAATCTCATATCGACGGTCTACTGTGACAGCGTCTTTTGATATAAATTACATTAGGAGTTTGTCCGTATGTTTTGTACTCCCCAGGGACTCGATCAAAAAAAAACTTCGCTAAGAAAACTCCTATTTCCTGTATATACTTAAGATATAGTGATATTTTTAAAATCTTTTTTCTTCCATGGTCATTTCAAGTCTCTAAAGGTGTTATTACAACATCGAAATAAAACTGAACTGTTCTCCGGTGCGCCGTAACGTCATAAAACGTCGCCATTTTTCGTGTGTTGTGTTTATCACTTTCCCAATTCGAATGCTCGAGAAATTGCCAAAAATTAAGCAAATGCCTTAAAATTTTTACAAGGACTACAAAATTGATTGTGGAATTGAATTAGGATAATTTTAATCCAAATCTTATGTATTTAAAACTTTGTTTTTGAATTCAAACTTGTGTATTCTTTAATAAAACCTTGGTTTTTTGACCGTGCGCCGTAGGACAATACCTCGTGCACATTCAAGCATAATAAAATCTTTATTTTTGCCTATATTTTATCAAAAAAATTATCATGCACTTAAATATGATGAATAAACATTTACTGAAATTTTCAGCTTAGTGCGCCCATTACCTTTCGAGAAAAACGCTTTGTCCACGATTTTACGGGACAACCCTCGTAAAACTACGATTTCTTATAAAAACAAAATAAGAACAGGATAAGGTTAAATTTCAATACTTGTTCAAGAAAAATTGGTCAAACTGAGCTTATAGAATTAAAACCGCTTCTCCACGGTCACATTTCTTGTTGAATATGATAAATTTAGGCTCTCTACGGCATAACTGCAAAATGTGAATAGTCTTTGTAATATCATTTTAAGAATTCATTTCCTATAAGCCTAGTTTCTGCAGTAGTATGTGGTCGATATACAGTATTTAAATTCATTTCTAAAAGATTAATATTTTTCAATAAACTTTGGGTATATATCATTTTCCTCTCGGTTTTATTGGAATCTAGCGACAAAAAAAGATAAGCTGTACATGGAGATTACGCTAAAAGGTAAGTTTATTTACTATTTCTTTTTAGAAAAAAAATTATAATTGTTACAATTGAAAAGATTTTCCACCTACATTTTAGGACTTGATACTTGTTATTTTGCAGTAAGACGAATCTCTCTCGAAGCTAGACTTCAGATCATTACTTTGAGAAATGCAAAATTAACGTAGAAAGGTGTAGAACAACATACGGCAGAGAGATACGGTGTCTCCTTCTCGCGCTACGGTCTCGTACGGTCTCGTGTAGTAAGTTACATGGCACATTGCTCGACTTGTCTGGATGAGGGAAAAGAAGTTAAGTCACCCGTTGACACGAAAGAGCGATAAAGAATCTAGCGTTGCAAGATAGGAGATTTAACAATAAGACAGCTGAAAACAAAGATTGTAAAATCAACCAGGATATCCTTAATTGAAACGACTGTAAGTAAAAAAAGTTACACAGGCATGGAATTAAAAGCTGCGTTCCTGCTAAACAGCCATTACTTTTTAAAAGAACTTAAACAAAGACGTTTGCAATGGGCAAGACATCACAGATACATGACGAAGGAAGATTGAGAAAGTTTTGTTTTTTTTTCGACGAAAGTTTATTCAAATCTCACAATGACAGGAAGAATCGTCGAGTTTGGAGAAGAAAAGCTGAAAAGTATGATTCAAAGTGCCTACAGTTTATTGTGAAACACCCGTCCCAAATTTCATACTGGGGAGTTTTTGGAGCAAACGGAGTTGGGGTTTTAAAAATATATGAGGAAACACTTAACTCCAGCAGATATCAAGAAGAAATTATCAACAATTTAAAAACAACGGGTGAATGTTTAGTGTTTCCCAAAACATAGAACATATTTCAACAAGATCTTGCTCCATGTCACAATAAAAGGCCTAATACAAACACTTTGTATCATGATTTAATTAGAATGGTTTTGTAATATTATTGTAAACAATATGTTTTATGCATTCATTTATAATTTTACATTTCTGTGGTTAGAATGTAGTGTTTGTAATATATTTTTGTATATCACAGGTTTCAGAGTTAACAAAGTTAGGTAATGCATAGGCTTGGGTTTCGGGGTTTTGCGGTAATTAGACGTTAGATATTGTCACAGATGTCACGTGATTGTTATCACTGTTGATGCAGCAAGTGTTGGTACATGTTATTTTTTGTATGAAAAGCAAAGCATAATGTAATATTATTGTAAATAATATGTTTTATGCATTCATTTATAATTTTACATTTCTGTGGTTAGAATGTAGTGTTTGTAATATATTTTTGTATATCACAGGTTTCAGAGTTAACAAAGTTAGGTAATGCATAGGCTTGGGTTTCGGGGTTTTGCGGTAATTAAACGTTAGATATTGTCACAGATGTCACGTGATTGTTATCACTGTTGATGCAGCAAGTGTTGGTACATGTTATTTTTTGTATGAAAAGCATACCCTCCACCACCCCATACAACCATCCCTTAGGTTAAGCTTTAAGTTGGGATGTACATGTATTTCATACTTTAGTTTGCTTTGTGGCCTATTGTTTGTTGCCACCTTATTTTTCAGCTTAAATGTTTGATAAATTTGTGTTTTTGAGTATTGTCATGATGTCATTTTAATTTTTGGGAGATCCATAACATGGTGTAGATACTAATTGTAGAGAGTCATAGGATCTCCCAGATTTCATGTGTTTCATTTATGTCATCAATAAATGACATATATACAACAATACTCATACTTGTTTCTTCATTGAATCTGAATAATAACAGAGCTGCGGGAAACTCAGTTTTTAATTTGCTTTATTATCATATGGAAAGCATAATAAAGGATATTTTAGTCAATACAGTCCTTTATGAACGATTGTTTAAAAATGTTGAATCTCCTTTGTACACAAGTTCGGGTGGGTAAATATTTATATGGTCTCTTAGTACCGCAATAATTATCTTTGAGAATTTAATTATGTGGTCTGATTCGATCTTCATTTAGAATAAAAAGAATAGAAAAGATAAACGTTATTCGATACCTTTCGATCTCTTCAAGAATTGATTTGAGCAATAGAGTGACAACTATAACTAGCTGTATTGTAGAGTTTAAGTATTAAAACTTATGCTGTTATACCTGGAACCAAAACATCTGGAACAGGGAGAAAGAATTTTACAAGGAAACGGCAATTTTTTTCTTCAAAAATGTAAGTGGTTTTGATGAAAGTTGAAGGGTCCTTAACTGAGATATTTGAAGAAAGTGATGTTTGCAAGATGACGCAAAATGTCTTTGATATTAGTGAACTTCTTATGGCTTCATTTTATTTTGTCCCGTTCTAGTCTGTCTTGGAGATTAAATAATCAATGTAGCAGATTTTTTTTTTTATTTTACTTTATTTCTATGACAAAGAAATCAAATGTAAAATAAATAGAAACCTCGATATTGATTCGAAAAACAATGTAGATAGAAAATTAACCGTAACTTAATAAACTGAAAAAAAAGTTGCCATACGTCTTGGTTGTCATAGAAATAAAGTAAAATTTAAAAAATTCCGCTACATTGATTATTTTTCAGTTTATTAAGTAACGGTTAATTTTCTATCTACATTATCTACACGGCCGCAAGGGGGTTCCGTAAAAAAATAACAGAGTCATTTATAATTTTTTGCAATCTTTAAAGATTAGGTATTACTTTAAAGTATTTCAGATTAATTTGTCAAATTGAAAAATAAAAAATCGCTTTTATAAATTCATTGTTTTTAAAAGTAGTATTATTTTTAAAACCAAACTCCTTGAAGTGAAATTTTCTTAGACCAAATATTCTGAAATTTTCTCAACTGATGACAAAACAAGATGCTATGTCACTCAAAAAACTATGTATGTTTATATTAAATATGTACGTTTATATTAAAAATATATGATTTCGTCTGTCCTCCATAATTTTTTCCCTCAATCATTTCATTATAACATGTATTGTACGTGTTTTTTCCTCTTTTTTCATTTTCTTTTTTTCTTTTTCTCCCATTTTATTGTCTGATTATGTATATTATATACTTATACCTCTGACCTGAAGATATATATATATATATATATATATATATAAAGCACATTTTACAACAACTCTTAAACTAACATAACTGCCCTAAGTGAAGAAATATAATATAGAAAGCACCAAGAAATTCACTTTTACATGGATACCCACTTCCGCCCCAGCCCGGGGTTGAACTCTCGACCTTCGGAATCTGTCTCCTAGCAGTGCAGGAACAGCGCGCTAGACCGCTCGGCTATCTAGGCAAGTTAAAAAACTTGCTTACGATGCCGATGGAATTCTCGCGGCGCTGTCCTACACTACACGGTCATTGAGAATAGAAGTGAGATACAGTTATTTGGACATTAGTTTTAACAGAGGATTGTTACCAATACATGTTGTAATGAAATTAATTATTATTTATAATTATTATATTGTAACGTGACCCGATCTTGGGTGTTACAAAAATTATGTGGGTCCTCTTATTCCTGAGATTTACCTTGATTAATCAACAAGATTTGTTTATCTATAAAAATGAATTTATTCAAACAATAACAATAATGATTTATGATTTATAAAATACAAACAGAGTATACTTATGGCTAATGGGACAGGATATATAATAGTCAGCTGATTGGGTTCCTCAATATCAACAATGGGACAATCTGTTCAGCTGATTATGGTTGGGTCAGGATATATATAATAGTCAGCTGATTGGGTTCCTCAATATCAACAATGGGACAATCTGTTCAGCTGATTATGGTTGGGTCAGGATATATATAATAGTCAGCTGATTGGGTTCCACAATATCAACAATGGGACAATTTGTTCAGCTGATTATGGTTGGGTTGGGAAATAGAATAATTAGGTAGATTGGGTTACCCAATATTGGTAAATTTACCCAATGTGAGGGCCTCAGTTTTTACCCAATGATGGGGAGTTGGGACTCTGAGTTGGTCAGATGTTAAAGGGGCTGACCAACCCCCCAGACTGAAGAAAAAGTCTAAAGTGCTTTCTTTATATACCTTTTGGTATTCCGGTGCGAATTAGTTCACGTGCGAATAACAAGCGGTACCGCCAGTATTCGCGCGACGTTTGTATGGTAACACTCATAACTTTTGCATCAAGTAAAGGCTTTAGCATTACAAATGCGGGAAAAGGGATGATTTGTTGTTTGGGAATTGTTTTGGTAACGATGCCAAGTTGGATTTGGGTACCTTGATTGAATAACAATGCCAGACGGCCATAAGTCATTACGATCTGTGGAGGAAATTCGGGTTTGTACAAAACAACGATATGATATTCATGAAATAAACATATACAATGAATTAAAAAGCATACATTAATGACATACGATGATTGGTAATATTCCCATGATATCTACAAATAAATTTACGATTCCTAGAATAAATATTTAGGACATAAATTGGGGTGATCCAATCTGTGGGTTATTTTGGGCAATGGGGAAAATTCGTAACACAGCTCCCCCTCCATGAAAACATTCGTCCCGAATGTTGGATCCTTTTATCAAATCTTATTTTTGGGACTATATATCATGGGAATATTGTCATGGAGAGTAATATTTGCAATAAACACAATCATGGGCCACAATAATACATACATATCAATACTTACAATGTGGTCAACAGTTATAAATCATAGTTATGAATAACAAAATATGAATAACAATTCATCAATCATCAATACATTAACTTTTACCAAAATGTTTTTGTTCATAACAGTTCATCACTTCTTACCAATCCTGGATCCATTGGAATGGAAAAGTCACGACGGAGACAAATCACGGGTCTCAATCCACAACACAAATATTCACAATTATTATACGGTTCACAAAGTTATACAATATAGTCCTTGGAAATATCCAAAAGGTCCAGTGCATCCGTCTACTATGAATCCAGCATCATTGGGAAATGTCCAGGATCAACGTTCGGAAGTACATCACACGGCTTGGAGGGTTCCCTCAAGGCAAGGTATGATCTAGGAATGGCTCGCTCAGGTAGCGAGTATGGTATATATGATTTCTCTACACTATTTTGTAATCCTTTATTGTTGGGGTAGGACAAGGTTGGGGAACTTGTTAGGGCTCTTTGGAGTTTGTCGAAAGCTACATGGCAATTTTCATTCAAATGGAACTCTTGCTTTGGTTCATTTTTAATTTCTTTGGGGATTTTCTCAACATTAATACATTGCAAGTGGTTTGGAGTTTGAGGGCCGAGCTCCAAGCTACAAGCATTAATGGTTTGGGTATTGGTTGGGTCTTCCAATACATCTAGTATTTTGTCATCACATTTGACTGTGGCAAATTGGGTATTTTTACATAGTTTGCTACTTTCATCTTTCATATTCATGTGACAAACTGTGACTTCTCTGTCTACAGTGACAGGGTTTTGGGGAATCAACAACTCATTTTTTTCAACAAAACTTGGGATAGGTTCTATTTTTCCAACCTCATCCCTAAATAAAGGGTTATCTACCTTTGCAGGAGCAACATATTCACAATGGGGAGGATCTCCAATATCCTCAGCAAGACTGATCTTGCCACAAGACACTTCTACACAAGGTTTACTAAAGCAGGGAATGTCTAGACCCTGTACCTTTAGTTTCATATTTTTCATAGAAAGGTCACATGAATTCTGAGTCATAAAATCTAGTCCCAATATGCATGGTTTTTGTATATCGGCCACAAGTACTTTATGGGTAACATGAAAATTTTCAAGGGATATTTTGATTGGGCATTCTCCCTTAACTGGGATTGCATCACCACTTGCAGATGTAAGTTTGATAGATACTGGGGTAATTTGGGGCTTTTCCTCATTATCTAAATTTTCAAAGAATTGGGTGCTGACAATAGTCATACTAGCACCTGTATCTACTAGTATATTTGTTTCTTTATTTCCAATTTTTCCAGTAACATAAATTCCATCATTTTCCCCATTTATATCTCTCACTAAAATTTCTTTGGGGATAGGTTCAGTACAAGGGATATCTTTCTTGGATTCAAATTCTGTTTTATTTTCAATATTGGGTTCAGATTTTAGTGAGAGAGGTTGAGCCACGTTTAATGGTAAGTGTTGGGGCCTGCCCCTTGAACCTGTCGACTTCCGACCCCCGAATTCGACGCTGGGTAGTTTCCCTGATTTTGAGGTTGGAATTGATTTTGATTTGGGTTCTTGGGGAAATTTTTCCATTTGTTAGAATTTCCTTGGTAGGGGGAACCTTGGGGTCTTGGTCCATAATTTGTTGGTCTATTGTTTTGGTAGTTGGGTTTGGAGTTTTCATATGAGCCCATATTGGAATAATTCGCATAGGGGTTTTGGTATGAGTTCTCATATACATAATGTGCATAAGGGGTTTCTGTCAAATTATGGGTAGGCATTTGACAATTCCTTACTAGGGCTCTAATTTCTTGGGTTAGGGATTGTAGGTCATCCCGCAAGTTTTGGATGGGTTCTGATTTGTTAATGGCATGAACAGTTTTATTTCGTTGGGCATCTGCCAATCTATATGTTTCCAACCGAATGGCCAAAATTTCAGCTTCGTTTATGTCTTTGGGTTTAGCTTCCCTTAACCTTAATCGCATATCTGGGTCTGGTAGGGCATCAATAAATTGATCAAGGGCCAGAATGCTTATAATGGTTGGGTCAGCCGTTGGGTAAGCTTGACGAGTTAGCTTTTTAATAGATTGGGCCAATTCGGGTAAGGATTCATTTACACCCCTAGTTTTGGTTTTGAGTTGGGCACGGAACATTTCAGATCTCTCTATAGAGCCATATCTCCTATTTAGGATTTTCACAAGGGAGTTAAAATCTCTTCTCTGGATTTCATTCAGTTCACTTAGGAGGGCACGTGCACTACCCGTCAGACTACTGGCGAGATACAGTGATTTTGTTTTATAGTCCCATCCATGCAAGTCAACTAAAATTTCAAATTGGGCAAGGTACTCATCAAAGTCCTCTGATCCATCAAATGTTTGGGGTTTTATGGTAACATGGGTTTTGGGTGTAGATTGGAGAGGCATTCCATTTTCATTTCTATTTATTTCAAGTAAGGGGGAATAATGGGTACCTGACATTGTTCTTGGGTGACGTGTATATTCCCTTTGCCCATTCGTTGGGTCTGTATGAACATGGGGTTGCAAATCATCATAAGAGTGGACTGGATGAATGGGTCTGGATATTGAGACACTGGGTGTGTGATGATTGTCTCCCCTGTCATAGGTTGGGTTTTCAAATTTTCTTTCTAAATGATTAACATGATCTCTCAATTCATGATATTCATGTCTCATACCCAACAATTGTTGGTTAACACTTTGTACCATAGACACTAACATGTCCAATTGATTGTTCTTTGCAGGCGGTACTGAATCTGATGCCATTGGGGAAGATTGGAGATTGGGAGCGGGTAAATTATGATCCTGATTATCTTCCACAGCATTGGACGAGGATGGGCGTGATTTGAAAGTGACTTCTGAATCAAAACTTTCTTCAGTTTCCATTGTAAATATCGGGTACAAAAATTGATTGGGTCAATAAAAATTTACAAAAATATATCAATTCTTTTGTCTTTATAATAGAAAAATTTTGGTAAACAGAAATAAGCAAATGGATATCCCACTTCTGACACCAAATTTGTAACGTGACCCGATCTTGGGTGTTACAAAAATTATGTGGGTCCTCTTATTCCTGAGATTTACCTTGATTAATCAACAAGATTTGTTTATCTATAAAAATGAATTTATTCAAACAATAACAATAATGATTTATGATTTATAAAATACAAACAGAGTATACTTATGGCTAATGGGACAGGATATATAATAGTCAGCTGATTGGGTTCCTCAATATCAACAATGGGACAATCTGTTCAGCTGATTATGGTTGGGTCAGGATATATATAATAGTCAGCTGATTGGGTTCCTCAATATCAACAATGGGACAATCTGTTCAGCTGATTATGGTTGGGTCAGGATATATATAATAGTCAGCTGATTGGGTTCCACAATATCAACAATGGGACAATTTGTTCAGCTGATTATGGTTGGGTTAGGAAATATAATAATTAGGTAGATTGGGTTACCCAATATTGGTAAATTTACCCAATGTGAGGGCCTCAGTTTTTACCCAATGATGGGGAGTTGGGACTCTGAGTTGGTCAGATGTTAAAGGGGCTGACCAACCCCCCAGACTGAAGAAAAAGTCTAAAGTGCTTTCTTTATATACCTTTTGGTATTCCGGTGCGAATTAGTTCACGTGCGAATAACAAGCGGTACCGCCAGTATTCGCGCGACGTTTGTATGGTAACACTCATAACTTTTGCATCAAGTAAAGGCTTTAGCATTACAAATGCGGGAAAAGGGATGATTTGTTGTTTGGGAATTGTTTTGGTAACGATGCCAAGTTGGATTTGGGTACCTTGATTGAATAACAATGCCAGACGGCCATAAGTCATTACGATCTGTGGAGGAAATTCGGGTTTGTACAAAACAACGATATGATATTCATGAAATAAACATATACAATGAATTAAAAAGCATACATTAATGACATACGATGATTGGTAATATTCCCATGATATCTACAAATAAATTTACGATTCCTAGAATAAATATTTAGGACATAAATTGGGGTGATCCAATCTGTGGGTTATTTTGGGCAATGGGGAAAATTCGTAACAATAATATATATATATATATATATATATATATATATATATATATATATATATATATATATATATATATATATATAAAGCACTAAAAATGACCAACGACACGAACAATAAAAATTGTCAAATTTTCGGGACGACCTGTCCCTTCCTCAGGACAAAGAAAAAAGTTAAAAAGTCATAAGAACAAAGGAAAAAGAGACACAAAAACAACTAGCACTACTACTAAACTACTAAACACTATATATTTACAAACTTAGTTACATGCTGAATTGGAAATTTTTACGAACACTATTAAAGAAAGAAAACCGGACCGCTATGAAATACGTCCGGTCTATCGGGTATACTCGGGTGAAGTGCGATTTACATAATTGAACGAATTAATTATGCTAATTAATTACGACAATCAGTATATCGTACATTGTTTCATTCTCCCAAAATGGCGTAACTATACTTGATAAGAATAATCAAAGAAAAATGATATAGCAGTAGTGTGACATTATACCGAAAGGCTTTCAAATAAATGTTACACCTAACATAGGGCCAATCTCCAAACGCTTTCAGGAACGCTGGGACGTTATTACAAGGAGATGTTCTAAACAACTGATGTCACTCTGTCTTTCTTGGGATATCCACAAGTTAGGACAATTGAAGAGTGAGATCAAGTCCTTAGAATCATCCCTCAACGATATCATGTCCCAGGCCGATCTTGATGAAGCCCATAATATTATAGACACCTATAATATGGCCCTAACAAATAAAGTCAACAAGACTCAAAAAAAGAAATTTCTCCGCGACAGTGTTCCACAGTCTAGGAACAACTGGTCAGAGGTCAGAGTTAACTAAACACGTAAACCCCGCTCGAGACGCTTTAAACGCATTAAGACAATCTTTAGGGACGGACCCATACAAACTCCTGACGTCTGCCCAGTGCTCAATACATCTAGTGCTCCTCTCTCCGAATCGGAGACCTCACTTCTTTCCAAGGGGCTAAATTTCTGCCCCACGCCACATGAGGTCGACGAAAAACAAGTCAGAGAGGACACCCGAGCATTCTTCCGGAGACTTCGTTTGAAGGAGCACTTCTCTAGAAAAGACTCCGAAGTAAATTCATACGATTTTTCCAAGCCAGATTTACACGACCTAGAGGAACACAAACTCTATAATCCCAAGAGTGACTGGGAACCTGCACCGGGCAAGTGCGGCGCGCTTGAGTCGTATATTGACGCCGTTGAGTCAGACATAGAGAAGCTCCTTTCAATGCCAGACAAGACTCTCGACAATTTGAGTAAGGAAGAGAGATCTGCCTTACAATCATTAAAAAATCGGGATGACATTGTAATCAAGAAAGCAGACAAAGGCTCTACAGTTGTAGTAATGGATAAAGAGACTTACATGGCGGAGGCCCAAAGACAACTCTCAGACGAACGTTTCTATAAGAAACTGGATTCTGACCCTACTAAAGAATTCTCCACCGCCATTACCAAAACTCTTGACGATATGTTTGAGAAAGATGAGATTGGTATCAACGTCTATGAGACCTTAAATCCTATTGACTGTAGACCAGGACAATTCTATCTGCTTCCTAAAATACACAAAGAAGGCATGCCAGGTCGCCCGATAGTCAGCGCAATTGGACACCCTACGGAGAAAATTTCTGAATTCATTGATTTACATCTCCGTCCACACGTAGAGAGTTTGCCATCCTATCTCAAGGACACCATGGACTACATTAACAAGACGCTTTCTACTGGCCTTCCAGATCATACCCTCCTCGTGACTATGGACGTCACATCTTTGTACACCAATATTCCGCACGATGAGGGTATCGAAGCCTGTAGAGAAGTCTGGGATAGTAGATCCATACAAATTCCTTCTACCGAGTCCCTTGCTAAGCTCCTTGAACATGTTCTCAAGTTCAACAACTTCATGTTTAATGGAGAACATTACCTGCAGGTTAATGGCACTGCTATGGGTACGAAAATGGCACCGTCTTATGCAAATGTCTTCATGGGCAGACTGGAACGCAACTTGTTACTTCAAGCACCATTTAGGCCCCATAGCTGGTTGCGTTTCATTGACGATATAGAGATGAAGTGGGTGGAATGTCGCGAGAGCCTCAAAGCATTCATTACGTTTGCCAACACCTTTCATCAGTCGATCAAATTTACAGTAGACGTATCTAATTCGAAAAACGTATTCCTAGATACTACATCTACCCTGATTGATGGTGAAATAGAATTCAGTCTCCACACCAAACCCACAGACTCCCACCTATATCTTATGCCCACTAGCTTCCCCCACACACTTTTAAGGGAGTGCCTAAGGGTCTAGCCACCAGAATTCGACGCATCTGTTCGTCCCCTGCCTTATATCAGGAGCAAAGTGGTCTTCTGAAGTCCCACTTGTGCAAAAGAGGCTACAATGCCCGCACCGTACAAACAGCTATTGATGAGATGGCGGGACATGACAGGCAAAACCTATTACGCTACAAGGAGAAAGACAATAGCGGCAGGGTCCCTCTGGTAACCACATACCATCCCGTCCTTAAGAACCTTAGCGGTATCCTTCAAAAGAACCTACCAATTCTCCAATCAAACAAACGAATGGCAGAGGTCTTTAAGGAACCCCCATTGGCTGCATACAGACGCCCAAGGAATCTGAAGGACATGGTAGTAAGAACCAGACTGGACAACTCATTACCTAACGGGGGCTTTAAAACTTGCTCTGACAGAAGATGTCTTCTTTGTAAGCACAGCACTGACACAGACAGTTTTAACAGCCCTGTTACAGGCCGCAGCTACAAAATATTAGGGAATTTGTCCTGTCATACTGACAACTGCATTTATCTCATCAGTTGCAAAGTTTGCTCCAAACAGTATATTGGTGAAACAGGAGATCTCCGCAGGAGATTCAATAACCACCGTTCGACTATTAGGACCAAAAAACTCAATGAACCCGTTGGGGAACATTTCAACCTTGAGGGTCACAAATGGGAGGACATGACAGTAGTGGTGATTGACCATAACCCAAGATGGACAGACGCTCAGAGAAAAAGCAAAGAAAAGTTCTGGATGCACAGATTGAAGTCATTCCGCCCTAATGGTATTAATAAACTGAATGACTTCACCAGAATGAACGTAAACTAGACCCAATCCCTGAAGATACTAAACAAGATTATTCTCTCAATTTAGTGTAAACTCTACAGTTAATTTGCGTCATCAACTCTCGAACAACCCACTTAACTATGAATTGCTTACGCCTTTGTTATTTATTTTTTTTTCCAATAATAAGTCCTAAAATATTTAAAAATTTATAATAGATTATAATTCATATTTTAAAATATCCCTGCTATATCATTTTTCTTTGATTATTCTTTATCAAGTATAGTTACGCCATTTTGGGAGAATGAAACAATGTACGATTTACTGATTGTCGTAATTAATTAGCATAATTAATTCGTTCAATTATGTAAATCGCACTTCACCCGAGTATACCCGATAGACCGGACGTATTTCATAGCGGTCCGGTTTTCTTTCTTTAATAGTGTTCGTAAAAATTTCCAATTCAACATGTAACTAAGTTTGTAAATATATAGTGTTTAGTAGTTTAGTAGTAGTGCTAGTTGTTTTTGTGTCTCTTTTTCCTTTGTTCTTATGACTTTTTAACTTTTTTCTTTGTCCTGAGGAAGGGACAGGGCGTCCCGAAAATTTGACAATTTTTATTGTTCGTGTCGTTGGTCATTTTTAGTGCTTTATATAAATTTCCATCCGTGACCTTGTATCTACTAGGTAGATCCGACATTTAGGATATACAGTGTTGTTGGTTTTTTAGTGCTTGATATATATATATATATATATATATATGCTGTAAATATTTACAGCATATATATATATATATATATATATATATATATATATATATATATATATATATATATATATATATATATATATATATATATATATATATATATATATATATATATATATATATATATATATATATATATATATATATATATATATATATGCTGTAAATATTTTTCATTGTCCTCGTGTACCATGTATCTTAAATGGTTTTGAGTGAATAAATGAACTTGTACTTGTCGAACTTGAGTATGTCTGTGACTCGCGCTCTTTAACCCCCATCCCCGCAATCACGCATTTTAACGCATATACCGTTGCCCCGCAATCACGCATTTTAATGCATATACCTTTGCCCCGCAATCACGCACTTTAACGCACTTTTCGTTTTTGGTGTTTTCTGCACTTATAACGCAAAAAGTTTTGATGGTATGATAATAAATGATTAGATAATAAATTTTGTAATTCCACTCTAATGCCTTTCGCAAATAGGAATATTTTTCCTCAATTTAATATGTCCGTATTGTTTGATTTATTTGACGAAACTATGAATGCGAGACAAATTAAGGCCTTTCTTTTGACGCTAAATAAGCTCACCACTTGATCCACTTGTTTTGGTGATGTGGAAGTCACTCAATCTTGTGTAAGATGGGACCCTAGATTCAGAATTTATCGAATTCGACGAATTTTTTTTTTATGTAACTGTTTGATAAAAACCTGTGCACAAATCGACAGAAGGAACGTACAAAATTACAAAATAAATTTTAAGTTTATACGTACTCATACAACCGTAGAGAAAAGAAGTTTGTTCATAGAATGTAGGTTTGTTCCAGTTTACATATAATCTTATGTTACATGTAGTCTCATGTTGTCTTATTTTTTGTTCTATTTGAATTCAAATTCGTAAAACCTGATTATTTTCCTACCTTACACATGTTACACAGCAATAAAAAAATACACATACACAAATAAAAATGAACAGAATAAATGAATGAAAATATCATTTTGAAAAAGAGGTTGATTTAAATTTGAATGTTTTCATTATGAAGTCAACGTTTCCGATATTGTAAAAAAAAAAGTGTCGCACTTACTCGACCGTGTGTCTTGATTTCTAAACATATACGTATACATGTATACATAAAACAAGGTATTCGGGAAAATTTTAAAGTATACTGAATACTTGTTTGATATTTTTTTAAAAAGGCAGAACAAACAAGAAGTCTGTGAGCCAATGCTCACCAATAATGCCCCACTCTGATGTGAATTTACACACGTTCAGTTACAGGCAGATGCACGGAAAAATATGAAGTTGTTATCAGATTCATATACAAAAAATCTCACCATATGACATGTCTCAACACAGATTGCGCTAAAATTTATAGAATCTGCGATTAGTAGTTGCTTAGAAAAATGTGATAAAAAATTGTTACATGTATGTTTGGTACGGACAGACGCCCGGTAATACAGGAAGTTGACATCGGACTTGAACAAAAATGAAACCACCATATGGCATGCCACTGTGACGAATGTGCTAAAATTTTAAGCATCTGTAACGAGTGTTGCGTACTTGCTGAGAAAACTGCGACCAAAAACTTTATTACGGACAGACACACAGCTATAGACAGACGGAAAAACACACAAGAGTAAAACAATATACCCTGTCTCGTTCGCAGCGGGGGTATGGTTAAAAGACTTATGTCTTCTGATTAGTTTTATCGATGGGTATATAGTCTGTCACAACTGACCTCAAGTTGTGATGGGTTCTTTAAATTAGTATTAACAACCCAAAACAAATAATATTTTGGAAGACCTCCTGTTCACCAAGAAATAACAAGATTCATAAAAATTAACAATAAATTTATCTACATATGTACAATAAACAAGAAAACAGCCAAAAGTTCAGTCATGGTCATCACTGGACAGATTCACACTTCACACCACGTCCCAATGTATGGTCCACCATATTGTCCATATTGTCCACCATAGTGTCCAGTCCGGTCCACCATATCCTAAGTAGCCTTACAACGTAACAAATCCTCCCGTCCGAATAAAGCTAATATACAATTTTGGTCACTGAGCTGTGGCATTTTATACATAAAAACCATTCTGTCGGCCCCCAGGTCTTGCTCTCAACGCCGCTACAAAACATCCCTGAATCCCAAGATCACACAGCAGGGGAAACAGTACACACCCAATTTCACACAGCATGGGTTATATTAGTCCGAAAAATCTGACGTTTTTCTGGCTTTTTTTACGATTTTGATATTTTACATGCCAGGAAAACGTCAGAACCGGCGCCATTACGAAAACGGGAAATCGCCGCCTCCAACCAGAGGCGGCATTCAGAGGTTGATTTTCGATACTTGTAAACCGAATTAAATGCTGAATTCACATTTTATCAATAATACTACACCTTTAGTACTCACCAACATCGTTTTTATGTACTGTTTATGAAATAATATAATCCGATGAACACATTTTATCTGACTGTTGAGATTTGTTTTCATTTCGTGCATTTTAAAATCGTGCAAGTTCTGAATCGTAATGTGGAGTGGTAATTTCTATTCATCGATATTGGTGAGTTCTAGGAGCATTGTGCCATTGATAAATTGTGATTTCGGCATCTAATTCGGTTCCCAAGTATAGAAAATCAACTTCGGGTAGAGACGGTGAAATTCCCGGTTTTCGTAATGGCGCCGGTTCTGACGTTTTCCTGGCATGTAAAATATCAAAATCGTAAAAAGCCAGAAAAACGTCAGATTTTTCGGACTAGGGTTATATAAAAGGCACACCCAAGATCACTAAGCATGGGTAAAGTATAACTCACGGCGTCCAGACCTCATCTGACAAACACTAGCCAACACCCAGTGTAAATAACTGACCAAACTAATCAAACGGGTTCGACGAGTATACGTTGATAAAAATAGCAACAAGTACAACTCAGTGACCAATAGTGCGTAAATGAAATAAACGATAACTCCTAATGCCAAAATAAAGATAACTCTTACCAATACCTGTACAATCAGATAATATTAAACATTGACACAATGTCACTTGTGACATAGTCCCTTATAGGAATATATTCGCCTCGAGTACGTTCATATCGTCAGAATATTATTTGAAAATATTCACTTATCAGTCGCTTTCAAAATGTTTAAGAAAACCTATATACTCTGTGGGTTCATGTATGTCAACACTGCATACTTTAAGAATAATAAGTTTTGAAAAATCTTAATTGGCGGAGTAAACTTTCAAGTAGAGGACGGCGATCTGGTCTGATTAGATTCTTCAACCAGCTATATGTTTATGTTATACAAAGAAAATACTTTTGACATCCACTTGTTTTGTTTTGAACATATTTTATTGAACGAGTCAAATGGATTGGAAACAAGTTCTTGCAACTTACAAGTTCCTCTCCATAAATATAACAATGTGTCATGCAAAAAATACATTAAAATATAATAATTATAATATTTTCAAGTGATGCAATTAAATTACAAATCAATTTAAAATCTACATGTTTCAGTAATAAATCTATGGACAGCAGCAAAAATATTAATATTAATTGATACAGGCAAATCTCTGTCACCCCATAATAGTAAATTAGTGTCAATTGTAACCAATTCTTCAAGCATGCTATATATATATATATATATATAGACTAATATTAAAGGCTATATTAAAATTTATTACAAATTTTGAACAGCTTAAGAGAAAAAAAAGTGAAAATGACATTTTAATTAATGAAACAAAATGCAGATTTTGTTTGTCAACTGTTCGTTGTATATAATATAGGTATTTATACACAGACAATCACATTTAAATATCTGGAAAGGACGGATGTCAAAGCTAACGGATAGATGCTATCACTGCGGAACGTGGCCGAACGGACAGAGGTCGTCCTCCTGTCTGATGAGATATGTTTTTTTCTTATTATCTCGGATGCGGATTTTTCCGTTTGATGACCAAGCCTGTAGTATTTTATGCTGTCGGCAAAGCTGGCGACACATATATAGTAGTTTGTCTCGACGCTTGGTGAGATCCTCGTTGATCATCACATGCCTTGTTTCAGGATTAGCTTTTAAGCTTTCGTAGCTTTTAACTAGCATGAATTTCAGATCGACCGAACGCAGTCTTGCAATTATCTGTCTTGGTCCCGATCGTCCACCTTGATTCGATTGCTCGTTTCTTGGTGCCCCTACCCTGTGAGACGTCACGATATCATCTCGGTTGAGGGGAATTCCGGCCTTAGCAGTGACACCCAAGATGAGGTCTGTGGTGTTTTCATTGTCATTTTCAGGAATTCCTGCAATTCTGACGAGAGGTCTACGACCGTATTGTTCTAGCTCGTCTAATTGAAGTTGTAGGTCATTATTTGATGTTTCGAGTCTTGTAATTTTTTCATAGAGAGGCTGGACGGCTTTTGCTACTTCTTTCCTGACTAGTTCAGCAATTTCATCCTGAATTGATAACTTTACAGCGGTGGCTATGCGTGCAATGTCATCCTCACCAATTACCACTTGGTGTGTCATGGAAGGAATGGGTGGAAATTCCTTGGGATCCAGCTCTCTCAGAGGGGTGGAGGTGGTTATGTGAGATGGTTCAGACACAGACCCATCCCTCTGTTTTTTAGGTGACCTCATGATGTCTGAAAATGACTTAGACATATCACTTAAGTTCCACTTGTTGTCCCCTTTCTCGGCCATTGTTTATACACAGACCAATACAAATATAGGGAATTGTGTATTGACAATGTTATCAGTGTTACTGAAAAAAGTTTTATCTAGAGCTGTTCTGTACTGATGACCATTTGTTTACCGATAATTGACACAAATAAAGCACATATGAAATGAACTTATACGATGAAATTCGATGAAATTCGATAGGCGTTTGAAACGACGTTGCCAGGAGGTCGTGAGTAGTTATCAACAATATAAATAGTGTCAAAGTTATTTCGAGCTACTCACGTCTGTATAAGCTTTTTTTCCTAGCAAAACATAATCACTATTTGTTCAATACCCCTCCTGTAGTCTTCCAATATCTTTTTTTCACAATTCACCCACGACTTTTGGAAATTTTCTACATATTTACACCAGCAGATTTTGAGCCAACCGCCACTACCAAGGGGCGCAACTCTCTCCACTTGTGTATGGACAGTTAACTCGTGACTGTTTTCAAAGGGTAGTGCAGCTGGTAAATACATGTACCATGTAGATACATTAATGAGGAGCAATGCATTTGGACGCTTAAAACTTCATTCTTTCGGGGGGGGGGTTATACAGTTATACATCTTTGACCAACAGCGATCTAAATTATTCCCTACATTTCATCTCCGGAATTATATTATTACATTTAGAATTTCCGGCATTTTTTTCTTCGATCAACAGCTAGCTTGTTAAATAAAGGGACTGATTATAAAATATATATAGCATTTCATTTTACCACAAGAATGCTTAGCATTTCGGACTTTTTTTTTGGGTGGGGGGTGGGGGGGGTTATGGATCTTGTCTACCAAGTTTATGAAAAATCGATCAATAAAAAAGAAAATCAGCTACACTTGAACTATATTATGTCAGTGATGTCCGACACACATGAAACTGATCTCAATTTAACATCCATGTTTTTGTTTGTTTGTTTTTTTTTTTTTTTTTTTTTTTTTTTTTTTTTTAAAGAAAATAACGCTTTTGATGTCAATGATTTGCCGGTATTGTTCAAAGATAATAATTTCAATTTTCAGTTAAGAAAGTCTTCGGTCACAGTTTTATTTCTTGAAATTTACTCTTCAATAAATGTCGGAAAATAAAACTATAAATTCTCAGTAAACTATATGTAATGTCGGAAATAAAAAGTAGAATATAAATAATCGGTAAAAAGAATGCAGTCAAAATATTGAGATAATCTGTTTATTCTCCTGTCTGATCTATATGAACATTTATTTCGGTCAGAATTGTATATCTTTTACAAACACAATCAATTATTATTTTTTTTTCTGTCGTTAACTTGTATTTTTTAAAACTATAGTAATATCATGGGATATCATAAAAGTATATAGTGAAAAATTTGTATATCCACTACGTATTAAATCCTGATAGATCCTGAGTAATTGAATAATTTTATTGTATATCATGTTATTAATTAGACCTTTTTCTGCAAGTTTGAATAAATTGATAATAAATACGTCATTTTCTTAATTAAAGTGGACAGGTTTTCGTGTACATCGACCCTGCATGTTCATAAAGTTCATCGTGTCATAGAAATCTGATGGCAACCCTTGGAAAAATTGTGGAAATACTTTCTTTATTTCTCAATAAATACAACTACAATTAATGCATTTTCATAGAAAGATTTTTAAGAGTACTGTCTCATTTGCTCCACAAATAACTGGAAAACTTATAGGACAACATCGGGAAAATGTCGAGTACTGATCGCTTCGTCCGAGGAGTTCTTGGACTCGTTTGTAAACTATTCTATTGTGTTTAAAAATGTGTAAAAATTCCATTACAAAGAAAAACTTTTATTCGATGTTTTTCTTTTTCTTAATTTATTTATTGCAAATTCGCCTACTGCCCCATCTGTCCCAAGTTTTTCTTTATTGTTAAACGTGATTTTTTAGGAGCCCACATGTACCTGTAGGTGTAAAGATTCTGCAATCTTCGCTATAGCCAAGGGGTTCCGATACGCATCCATCTCCACCATGCACTAGAGTAGATTTTGGATCGGAAACCCTTGGCTAGCAAGGTTTAGATATATATTGCTAATTTTAGACTGATTATTTTAATGCCGAGTCCCATGGCAGTATTTCATCCGTATATCAGCCAAAATATTAATAATAAGATGTGATCAGTTAAATTTTATTACATGTATTTTGAAAATTAAAATGTTTTCCATCAACAATGCGCTATTGTATAGTTCAATAGGAATTAAGCGATATTCTAATATTCCAGAAATATTTATTAATTAAAAAAAACCCTCTCGAACAAATAAATCAAGTTAAATGTGCTGAAAGCGTGCTATAAAAAAAATATATTAAAAACGTGTTATAAAATTTTTCTCAAGTGATAATTCTTTTCTAATAGCTAGACCTCATTTCTAATTTTATTTATAATTGAAAGATTCTGCAAGTTTCGATAAAATGGTAATGCATGTGACTGAAGAAATAAAAAAGGGGGGATGTGTCGCTGTCTGCCATTTTAACAGGAGCATAAAAAAATGACACCCTGAATGGAACTCAAACAATTATTTTGAACTAAGTTTTCGATTTAGATTTAAAATTCATAATAAATTACCTGTAAACTATGATAATATATCAAGTCTGTAAAGGTCCACATAAAAGAATTATTTAAACAAAATAAACAGGATTAAGTCATCATCAAAATACTTGAATTCATTTTACAGATGATTGTATAAATATTAGGGCGATATATCCGGCAACAGTTTCTAATTATACACCGTGTAAATGCATCCTCAAAACCACGTCTTTTCAGCACGTAATCGCAAGTGCGCTGCGGGGAAAAGGATAACGTCATCAAAAGTTTTAAAACAAATGTAATGCTACTATTACAGACAGCGCAAGGAGCAAAGAGTTAAACCGTATCAGTTTTTTCAGGGATTGAATAGATTGTGTGTTGTTTTACGTCTCACTTGAGAATTTTTTTTATTTATATAGAGATGTCATTATAAACCTGTGAAAGTCTATACTCGGCACTCCGGTCCATTTAGCAGAAAGTTATTGTCCCCAGCTAAAATGGGGGGGGGGGGTATTGATTTTTGTCTGTTCATCCGTCCGTCTGTAGTACTGTTTGCCTGTAACGCTTTCATTTCCAAGCGACATCTCGAGAAACCTTTAACTTTTGCAATAAAATTTTACACTATAACTCCCTATGGCCTAAGGACGATACTCAAGGTACCGAGCGCTTTACGTTTGAACAATTGCTTTAATTTCTTTTTTATCGACATGCCACCGCTACTAACGTGTTTGGAACTTTATTTTTCGGTGTTCTGTAAATATTATAAAACCCAAGGAGTTCTGAATAGCTCTGGCAGTAGCTCTTGCTAAACAAAATGTGGCTAGGAATGACTAGCACGGGGATACACGGTAAACAGATATGTTGAGTTTCAGTTTTCACCACCCTAGAATACATGCATTTGTAGAAATGTACTTTAATAATCTCTCTTCAATCCATTCACTTTAAGAAGTATCTTTTCTGACATTATTTTCTGCAGTCAGGTACTAGTATCAAAATTTCTTTTCTGACAAACATACTTGCATGTGAATTTAAATAAATATTGAAAAATTACCTGTGTTATTCTTATGTGTGGGAAAAAAGAAAATGCGTTTGATGTATGTATCCTTAGTCATGAACATGTATATCATAAAGTTAGCCGGAATAAATAAAAAAAATTCTTTGACTTTTTTGCGTTTAATGTGTCGACGTAAACCAGTACTCAAACACTTATTAATCTCTTATATAGCCTTGCTAACGATACCAATCTATAATTTCTTAATTTTTTAGAAAAAATATTATTGTTTTTTCCCATTTACAACAAAAATAGTTCCAAAAATATTTACCAATCAAGATACCCATTTTTTCTTTGTTTCATCATATTTTTTAGAATACTTTTACATTTCTTTTGAAAACTATATATTTTGGTTGAAATTCCATGATTTGAAATACATACATCTGCTTAGAAAAATCTTACCACATAAGTCGAAAAAACACTCATTTCCCTTAAAAAATCAGTTCAAATGTCATTTATCTAATTCTTTTTTTAGAAAGATATTGCGGAGCTGTGGTTTATATTGACTCTGTAACGAGGGGGGAAATCCTACTGTGAGAGAGAAAGAGGGGAAATTTGGCTC